CCCTAATGTCCTAAGCCAGACTCTGGAGGGATAGTATCACAATGCTCCCAAGCCAAAGCTCCTGTAATACTGTAACCCTGTTGATTCTGGTAATATGTAACCTTTGCAAAGTCCCAACACATTGTTAGGAGATGATAATAGACATCCTGAAGTCCTTCTGGCAAAAAGTGAAAAATAAATCACAGGACTCCAGCGGCTCTCATAATCATCTGAGGCCGGTTTTGTTCACACGTCAAGGGAAATCCACTCCCTTCAGGTGATGGTAGAAAATGTTGAGGATGATCCTCTGGCAAGAGTAGATCTTGGTTTGCACTAACATAGCCAATTTACATCATTTCAGCACTTTGCAGTTTCATGAACTATTTTGAGATATAATTTATTTTCTACCCCTTATATAAAATTGTGAAAATGATACAGGGCTCTCCATTTGTTTGACAGTAATATAAACAAGTGCCCCCCCTCCCCCGTGGTGGATATCTGACTTAGTGAATAGGTCACAAGTTGTAACTCATGATTAGCATAACCATTTTCTGTGTACTATCATGCCACAAGCCCACCAACAATTTCCCAAAAACCACTGGTCATTTATCACACAAGTACAAGAAAACCACCATTGCTTGCTGTGGGATGTTCTATATGGCAAATGTGTTGCTCTGATTGGTCAATAAATAAAACACTGATTGGCCAGTGGCTAGGCAGGAAGTATAGGTGGGACTAACAGAGAGGAGAAGGGGAACAGGAAGAAGGAGGGGGGGACACTGCCAGCCACCGCCAGAATAAGCAGCATGTCAAGATGCCGGTAAGCCATGTGGCAAGGTATAGATTTAAGGAAATGGGTTAATTTAAGCTATAAAAACAGTTAGCAAGAAGCCTGCCACGGCCATGCAGTTTGTAAGCAATATAAGTCTCTGTGTTTACTTGGTTGGGTCTGAGCGGCTGTGGGACTGGTGGGTGAGAGAGATTTGTCCTGACTGTGGGCAAGGCAGGAAAACTCTAGCTACAATTGCTCATCCAGAATCGACCAGATCAATGAGTCTGCTTGCTTAGCGAATCCTGTTGACTAGTGCCAGCTTTGGTTCAAAGTCACCTCACGTTGTCCCTGTTGATACTGTCACTATCCTCCCCAGAGGAAGTGAGGAGGAACAGTAGGACAGTTGACAGCCTTTCATGTGATTGCTCTAATTCTTTTATGTCATACTCTGTTCTCCCACTTTTATCCTGATCTTGATTCATTCATTATCAAACACTTATTGGATGCCAAGGTACTAGGTAGGACATGAGAGATACAAAGTTAACAAAAACACAGTCATGCTGCTAAGGACATGACAGTCCACGACAAATGTGAACCGATAACCACAATGCAATTAGAAAAATACAGATGAAAGAGTTCCAGGTACTTTATGGAAAACACACTCTCCTGGAGTAGATGGAAAATGTTCACAAAGGCCCCTAAGCATCTCTAATGCTAAAGGGGTCACTCATCCATGAGGTGAAAGTGAGAATGGGGAAGAAGAGAGATGGGAAGGAGGGCTCCTGGAGACCGAGGGGTTGGGAAGAATGTAGTTCGATCCCAGGAAGAGAAGCATGGACATTGCTTTAATTTCAGGGTTTTAAAGAGATGTTTAGAAGAAAAAAGAAAATAATGATATTCAAGGGCAAATAAAATATTTCTCAAAGGTATTTTACTTCAACTAAAGGAAAAATTTCTACAAATGCCAAGACAACCCAAGGCAAAAGTATATATGTTCACTATAATTCTTACTGGAGAGAGTTAATCTTTGCCTTTCGTGTCATACTTTACAGGTATGCTAGGGTCAAGAACCATTACTAAGGCATCTTCAGGCATTGTCCATGGAGTAAGGTCCAATTTGGCATGAGTTAGACATCTTTCTACCTTCCCATGGTGTAGACAGTGGGCTTGCCTATGCTTTCCTCCTTTAGAAGAGTCTTTTTTACTGGTGGGATCTGAGGATAGCTGGTGTTGACTATGACATTCCAGTACATCTCCAATGTCCTTGTATCCTGTCTCCCATTGAAACAAAACAAGACAAGATTTCCCATCTCTTCTCCATCTTCAGAAAGTTTGAAGCAAATTAAGTCCCACCTGATGAAATCATCCAGTACAAATGTGCAGCATTGTTCTCTTACAGAATTCCTTACCATCAAAAGACCAGTGGGTCACACAGAAGGCACCAGAGGAAAACACTCTTCCTGGAACCAGAAAGCAGGAACTTCCACACTGCAGACCCTAAAAACTAACCACATTACAAAATAGAATAGAAGTGAGTGTTGCAGGAGTATTGTGAGCAGAAGGAACTGTTAACTGTGGCTTGCAATGACAAAGACTGATTCTCTTCCTCAGCATCTTTATCCTTCTAGTTTCTAGGATTCATTTCAGCTCTTCATTCCAGAAGGAACAGAGCCTTTTTCAAGGATCCCTAGGAGGTTGAAGGTAAGATCTAGAAGAGGACAATAAGAGGAAAGGCAAGGCATTTTGATATGATTTTTTATGCACATATTTACAGGTCAGATTCTTGGTTACTACTTAGAGATATATTGTGTTGGTGGAATTAATATGGCTTTTTCCCATCTTGATTAGGAACCTAGATTCAATATTTCTCCTGAATAACAGAAATGTGTCTGTTCTGTCCTTTGGATGTGATGTAGACCATACTCATGTCAAATCACATCTGCACGTTTCCATGCAGTTTTATCCTAATATTTATATTAATGCAGTCACCAAAAAATCATATTTGGTTTCTAACCATTAAAAGAAGAAAGTGCTCTAGAGGTTACACAGTAAAACTCTTCATTTCTATGTGGAAATTAAAACCATGATTCTGAATTAGTTGATCACCTTAAGTTGGTATTTAGTAGCAAACAAAAGTAACTTCTAATTTTAATGTTTACTGCAAAGTTTCAGTACATATAAGGAGAGGAGGATGTGTTTTAATTACTATGAAATTACTCATAATCACAGAACAAATATTTTTCTTACCATTTTATAAGTAATGCTGAGCCCCCTTTATCTCCATCAGTCCCAACCATGTGATATCATTTTGCATGCAGACCACTCAGGCTGAAGAGCATTAAATTTAATTTGTGCAAAAGTTGAAGGTGGAAAAGCGTGAAATTAACTTGATGCATTTTTATGGCATTTTCTCTCTCCTAGTTTCTCAGAGCTATTCCAGTTCACAGTGATTTGATTGGCTGTCAGGATCTCCCTCTCCTTGGGATTTTCTCTTCTGACCATATGTAGCCTGCTCTTAGATAGCCACAGGCAACCCAGCATAAGGAAGTACTCAGTTACTGAGTTTACTGTTTATTTGGCTGAGCTTCAGCCTGGGCACAGGTTCACTCTTCTTGGTGATTCATCTGGAGTATGTGTGTGTGAAACAGGAAACGATGAGTCACCTCATTCAAGAAATCACTCAGCCTGGTCCAAATGGTTTGCAAAGATTTTGAGGGAAAGCTAAAACTTTTAGAGGGCTGTAGATTAAAGAGCAATTTTGAAACATTCAGTCACAAGTACAGCACTTCTAAACCTTCCAGGTTATTAAGGACACACCTTAATATCTGCAGAATAAGCTGAAATATCTCATGTCTTACCAATCAAAGAAACACTTCAATATAATTTTTAAAACCCATAGAACAAGAGCTCTTTTAGGGCAACTGTGCTTAGGAAGAGAAAGGCGAATGGAAATAAGTCTGTGGCTGGTCATTACCTGCTATTAGGAAAGCTGAGACCAGCTTATAAGCACTCTAATGATTATTAAAAATCTACTGAGACACTAATATCAATTCTTTTCATCTTCTGACGCACTCATTCAGATAATATTGTTCAAGTCATGTGGTTGTGCACAGATTTGGGCCTTCGTCAGGATAGTTTTACCAAGAATGCATTTGCAAGACTGTAGGATGAGAAAACCAAAAATGATATACAGAAGTATTAAAGAGGGGAATTTTGTATTACTTAATTATGTCAACTATTATTTAAAGGTAAATATCAATGTATATTTTGTACATTTCTACAGAACTAAAATAAAGATATTAAGTTATGTACTTAAATTTTTCTGCTCATTACTATGTATGTTTTCACCTGTTTTAGTTACAAGGAAACTCCTATCATGTGAGAGAATTGATATCTTTTTCAAGAAAAAATAATTTATGTCTTTTTCTGCGTACCACTTGGACTCCATTTTACATACCTTATTAATTGATTGACTAAAGACAAAAGGTGCTTTGTGCTTAGGTTCTATCAGTCACAGACAGTGGTCTTCCTGTTTCCAAAATCAACATACATGGAATAATTAAATGATTAGTGTTTATGATAGGAACATCCAAGAAGAGCTTAAGGGGGCCAACAATAAATATGTCATTTGGAAAGAACAGTGCCTGCTATGATTTGGATGTGGATCCCCCTGACTCTGCTGCAAGGGTCCTATGCCGAGAATATGCTCTTCAATGAGATGATACTAAGAAGTGGCAGACGTTTAAGAGACAGAGAATTACTGTGTGCTGGTTGTGTGTCTTTAAAAGAAGAGATACAAGTGTCTTTGCTCTTTCTTGTTTAGAAATATGGTTTGGTTGTCTCTATATGGGAACTCAAGAACTGTGGATCAATAGCTGTGGAGCCTCCGTGAGACTGGATTAGGCTCTCTGCGTGAGATAGTCGTGGAGCTTGACCTGCTTAAGGGGCCCCTGGCAGTGGGATCAGGATCTGTTCCTGCTGCATGAGCGGGCTTTATGGAGCCCAGTGCCTCCGGTGGGTTGGTTCAGAGGGAGGGGCTTGGTCCTGCCTCAGCTGAATGTACCAGGCTCTGCTGACTCCCCATGGGAGTCCTTGCCTTGGAGGACATGGAAATGTGGGGTGGGTTGAGGGGGAAAGCTGGGGGGGCAGGAGGAGGGAGGAGAGCGACACCTATGTATGTAAAATAAACAGAAAATTTCTTAGGAATTAAAAAAGAAAAAGAAATATGGGTATGATTTCTCTTCTCAAGCAAGCGCTCATCAGAGTAACACCAGCAGGTGATGCAGCTTGGACAGATGATCTCAATAAGCCTCCATAATGCTGTCTGGACTTGTAGCCTCCAAAAGGTATGAGCTAAATAAACCTCTTCTCTTTGTAAATCTAGCCCAACTCATGTGTTTTGTTATAGTAATGGGATACAGACCAATACTATGACTCTATTAATTTTGAAGCACAAAAATAATGAGATAGGGAGGAAAAGAGGAAATGACAACACCTTTGTGTATTGGAAGAAAATACTTTATTAGTAACTTTAAATATTAGCTTAGTTAAAAACTTATAAGATATGTACTTTTATCCTGATCATACAAATAAGACGACTGGGGGTTTAAGAAAAATTGTACTTTCCATATGTTATATAAATAGAATACAGTGTAACGAAGATTAAATTCTGTTCTAAGAAATTCAGAAGAACTTAGTTCTTATAAGTCAAAGGGAAATGTCTCAGAGAAAGTTATATCTGTGCTAAACTTAAAACATTTAATTTTTTTTTCATTTGTATAGATATTTTGTCTACATCTATGTCTATGCACTACATGGGTATCTGCTTTTCATGGAGTCCAGGAGAGGATATCTCTACCCTAGGACTGGAGTTACACACAATTGTGAGTCACTGTGTGGGGGCTGGGAATCAAGCCTGGGTCCTCTGGAAGTACAGCCAGTGCTCTTAACTGCTAAGCCATCTCCCTAGCCCCCTTTGCTCATTTTTAAAGAAAAAATTGAAGTCTATTTTATGTATACCTATGTAAATGTTAGAGATAGAATATACCACACACTAAGTAATTATAATAGCTAACATCTAGTTCGCTATGTGTTAAAGTCAATATAAAGGTTCTTAAGTATCAAGCTGACACACATTTCTTATTTGATCCTCGTGAAAATTAAATAAATTAGGTAATTCTGTATTCTCCTTGGGGAGGACAAAATATAGCCTGAGAAAATCTGGATGACCTACTACAATTGGAATATCTCAGAGCCTGGCCTGAAACCAAGTCTAAAGGATTCCTAAATTCTATAACCTAAATGTTCAGTATTTCCACTGCAGCAGGGTCAGAATAAGTATAAAGGAGAACTGTGGGATGGGGCTGATAAGATGAACGGGCCTGCTGATGAAAACTAGGGCACCCTCACTCAAGCATTAATACAATATTCTTCGTTAATGAGAAGCTTTTGAAAGATGATGAATGAAGTTGAGGCTTTTAACCTTTAAGATCATTCTAGGTAAAGGGTAGAATGAAGAGGCTCATCCAAATTAGGAGGCAGAGACACTCCTTAGTAGAATAAATCTCATGTCTCTGACTTGGTTACACCTAAATAAAGAAATAACAGAGTTTAACTATAGAGTTACCAGGAAGCAAATGATTAATGTCTAACAAAGATACAATTATGAACCAAGGTTTAAAATCATGGGAAGCTTTCAGTGTGGTGAACATGAAAAGATGCACCATTCAAAGAAATTTGGAAGACATATGAAATGGCAACATGTTCTGAAAATAGCAAGTGAAATGATTTCTGCATTTGAAAGAATTTATTTTCATATTTGATTTTGTCTTCTCAATCCTGAAAATGGACACTTGTTGAAAGTAGGGGCCTTGTATTCTCATCAACACTCAAAACTCAGAACAGAGTAAGAATTCAATGACTATTTGTAGTCTGGATGACTGTCCACTACATATGCCTAACATCTTGGTCCCAGGAATGTTCATAACTTATACATAATTTATAACCTCTTCAGCCACATACTCGTGCGCTGCTTTTTTTCCTGTCCTGTTAGGTGAATGACATTGAAATCAATTATCACATTTAGAGCAGAGATAAATGTGGTTGATATATTGTGTACCCTAATAAACTTATCTGGGGGGTCAGAGAACAGAACAGCTACTAGATTAGACAGAGACCAGACAGTAGTGGCACACATGCCTTTAATCCTATCACTAGTGAGGTAGAGATCTGTCTGGATCTGTCTATGATGAGTTCAAGGCCACAATGGGAACAGAGCTAGGCGTGGTAGTACACAACTTTAATCCCAGCACTTGAGATCTCATGCCTTTGCCACCAAGTATTTGGGAAGCACACATGTCTTTAATCCCAGCACTAGGAAGGAAGTGATGTCTGGGCAAAGGAAGGTATACACACCTTTAATCCCTGGAAGTGACAGCAGGACGCAGAAAGGTATATAAGGAGTGAGGACCAGGAACTATAGGCTTTTAAGTAGTTCAGCTGAGATCCCTTCCTGGTGAGGACTCAGAGGCTTTCATTCTGAGGAAACAAGATCAGCTGAGGAGTTGGCGTGGTAGGGTTGGTTGTGGCTTGTTCTGTCTCTCTGGTCTTTCAGAATTTACCCCAGTGCCTGGCTCCAGGTTTTTTCTATGAATAAGACGTTTTAAGATTTGTGTTACAGATAAATAAGATATGTAATAAAAATCTCCCTGATCTCTTGCTCCAAATTTTCCAAATAAGGTTTACAAAACTTATCTTCATAATGGATATTCTTCAAATCTCTGCTAATTAATCATACAAAATGGTAAGACTTTGCTTGGATTATTAACTTATCAAACTATCCTTTTAATTTTTGTGAAAAGAGTTTGTTCTCACAAGAACAATGGTGATGGACTTGCAAGATGGCTTAGTAGGTAAAAGCACTGATGGCCTGAGTTTGGTCCCTAATGGTGGTACAGAACTTATGGGTTTAGTCAACCAATGTTTGATTTGAATTGAGGCCCACCCCATGAGAAAGAACCTATATCCAACACTACTTAGGTAACCAAAAACCAGAGACTAGATATCCTAGAGACCTAGGGTAAAACCAAACATGACTGGCCTGAAAAAAAAATCAATAAAATGATTCCTAATGACATTCTGCTGTACTCATAGATGGGGCCTTATTCAGTCATCATCAGAAAGGTGTCCTTTAGCAGCAGATGGGAACAGATGCAGAGACCCACAGGCAGACATTATGCAAAGAGAGAGTCTAAACTGAAGATCTATATCAAATCCCTTACCTCAGAGCTCAGGTAATCCTGTAGAAGATGAAGCTGAAAAATTGTATGAGTCAGAGGGGATGGAGGACACCAGGAGAACAAAGCCCTAGGAATCAACTAAGCAAAGCACATATGAACTCTCAGAGACTGAAGCAGCAAGAACAGGACCTAATATATGTCTGCAGGTCATCTGTGAATATATTATAGATGTCAGCTTAGTATTTTTATGGGACTCATGAATGTGAGAAAAAGTGGGTCTCTGACTCTTGCCTGTTCTTGGGACTCTTTTCCTCCAGTTGGGCTGCCATGTCCAACTTCAATATGATAGCTTTTGTTTCATCTTATTATATTTTATTTTGCTGTGTTTGGTTGTTTTCTCTTAGAAGGCAGTTTTCTTCTAATGAGAGAGATAAAGGGAGTGGATACAGAGAGGAGGGGAAGTGGGGAGAAAATGGGAGGAGTAGAGGGAAGGGAAACTGTAATCAGGATACATTGTATGAGAAAAGAATTTATTTTCAATAAAAGAAAGAAGAAGACAGATGTGGTAGAACACATCTATAACCTCAGTGCTCTTGTGGTTAAAAAGCAGGTGCAGACAGGAGATCCACCCAGAAGCTGAAGGCCAGATGGTCTAAACAATATAGCAGCCAAGAGACCCTGCCTCAGCTCAATGGAAGGAAAAAACCCACTCTTTAAAGTTATATGGGTACCATGGCAGGTAAGCGCCTGCAGTCACTCACACACTCATCACAATATATAACACACACACACACACACACACACACACACACACACACACACACACACACACCAACACACGCAAGCAAGCACGCACGCACGCACACACAGGAAAATGTTCTAATTTTTTGAAAGAACAATAATGACCACCAACTCTTAGGCTCTTTTTCCTCATCTTCATTCTGGTTGCTGAGGACTACTGGACATGTGCTGTGGATATCACTCTATATAAATAAAACACTGATGGCCAGTGACCAGGCAGGAAGTATAGGCGGGACAAAGAAAGAGGAGAATTGGGGAAACAGGAAGAAGGAGGGAGAGAGACTGCAGCCACCACCAGGACAAGCAGCATGTAAAGATGCCGGTAAGCCACCAGCCATGTGGCAAGGTATAGATTTATAAAAATGGATTAATTTAAGATAAAAGAACAGTTAGCAAGAAGCCTGCCAAGGCCATAAAGTTTGTAAGCAATATAAGTCTCTGTGTTTACTTGGTTGGGTCTGAGCGGCTGTGGGACTGGCGGGTGACAAAGATTTGTTCTGACTGTGGGCAAGGCAGGAAAACTCTAGCTACAGACATGGTAAGGACAAAAAAACAAAAACAAATTTTGGATTCTCATCAACTCTGATGGGATATAAGCAAAGGCAAAGAAAGACCAGAAACAGCGAGTTTAGAATATGGGTGTGAAGACTCAAGTGAGCAAATGGGAATATGGTCAGAGATAAGTGAGCAAATGGGAATATGGTCAGAGATACAGAAATTCCAGACAAGGTCATTGGCCCATGTGAACCACCACTGGGAGAAGTCAGGAGCCAATGCATAAACAAGAAGTTCAGTAGAGAGGCAGCTCAAGAAGGAAAGAGGCTTTCTAATTCCTACCCTTCCCTGCATTCAGTCTTCCTCAGCAGTGACCTTCTCATAATCTTTCTCTTCTGAGATTGCCCCCTTTTCTTTGTCTTGTGTGTGCCTTGATCTGTCATAGTCCCCCATGTTTTTAGTCTCATCCTTCTGCAGCACACCCCCTGAAAAATCTATTATTGTACTTTCAACTATGCTCATAATAATAATTATGACAAAAGATCTTTTTCAATCCGGCTTGATTCATGATTCTTTGTTTTGTATCATTAACTGTGTGCATAGCATATCCACTTAGATACACTGTTGCAATTCCAGCTTCTACAGTTTCTCTAGGCATGCTTTTTACACAGTACCATTATTATTACCCACATTCGATTCCTCCTCACCTTGTGCTAGGGCTATTTTAATGCATTCCCATCTGGTATTGCTCCATTAAATCTGTTGCACCTCACATCCAACTTTTGCTTAAAAAGAACCAAAATTCTTTTTTTAATTATACTATTCCTCTGATTTGAAAGGAAAAGATATTCTCCATTACAATAGTTTCTTAATGTATTTTCTGTAGGAGTCTGGTAGATTTTGAAGTTATAAAATTGCTAACTATGGCACAGCTAACCATTAGATCATGCCAACAAGAAACATGGCAACCCTCTCCTGAGCTAAACCTCCAACCATAGTGAAACAGTCTCTAATGCAGCACAGGATGGGCCACAGATTTATCAAATAACCAGAGTATCCATTTATTATTATCTCACAGTACTGGAGGTCAGAGTCCGAAGTATTTAGTTGAGTTCTCATAAGCCCAAAGCCAATGTGTTGCCTGGACTAGGATTTTATGGAGAACATATTTCCAGGCTCACTCAGGCTGCTGGCAGAATTGAGGTCTTTGTGGATGTAAGGTAAAGTCCATTCCTTTTGACTTCCATCCAGATACTGTGTCGCAGCTTCTAAAGGCCACTTGCCTTCCTTCTCACCTGGCTTTCTCTCTTCAACACAGCAACAGTGCATCTGGTCTTGAATGGACAATG